CCGTCTCAAAAAAAAAAAAAAAAAAGAATGACATAATGAGGCCAGGCACACCTGAAATCCCAGCACTTTGGAAGGCCGAGGTGGGTGGATTACTGGAGGTCAGGCGTTTGAGACCAGCCTAACATGGTGAAACCCATCTCTACTAAAAATACAAACATTAGCCAGGCATGCCTGCACGCACCTGTAAACCCAGCTACTTGGGAGGCTGAGGCAGGAGAATGGCTTGAACCTGGGACACGGAGGTTGCAGTGAGCCAAGATTGTGCCACTGCATTCCAGACTGGGCAAGAAAAGCCAAACTCCATCTCAAAAAAAAAAAAAAGATATAAAGGTCCAGGCGTGATGGCTCTCGCCTGTTAATCCCAGCACTTTGACAGGCCAAGGTAGGTGGATCACTTCAGGTCAGGAGTTCGAGACCCCCCGCCTTTTGGCCAACATGGTGAAACCCCTTCTCTACTTAAGATACAAAAAAATTAGCCGGGCGTGGAGGCTGGTGCCTGTAATCCCAGCTACTGGGGAGACTGAGGCTGGAGAATCGCTTGAACCTGGGAGGTGGAGTTTGCAGTGAGCCGAGATTGTGCCACTGCACTCCAGCCTGGGTGACAGAATGAGACTCCATCTCAAACCACCACCACCACCACCACCACCACCACCACAAGAATGATATAGTGGACTTTGGAGACACGAGGAAAAGGGTCGGGGGACTCAGGGATTAAAAAATATACATTGGGTACACTATACACTCTTCAGGTGATAGGTGCAACAAAATTTCAGAAATCACCGCTAAATAACTTGTTTATGCAACCAAACACCACCTGTTCCCTAAAAACCTAGTAAAATAAAAACAAACCAACACAAATCAAGTTAGAACTGCTTTAATAGAGTAGACGAGAGCAATAAATGAACTATCAACCTCCCCGGCCCCGGCTCCCTTTTTGAGACACGGTCTCTCTGGCTGTGTCGCCTAGGCTGGAGTGCAGTGGTGCTATTATTGACTCATTGCACACTCGACGTCCTGAGCTCAAGTGATCCTCCCACTTCAGCCTCCTCAGTAGCTGGGACAATAGGCGCATACCACCAAGCCCAGCAGAAAGATACCTGTGGGGATTATCCCATCTCAGGGCAGATGAGGAAACCGAGGATTCGGGCGCGGAGTCTCAGAGAATAACGACGACCGCGGACCGGGCCTAGAGATTAGGCCGCTAGGGGACCGGGGCCTGGAGAGACTATGACCACTGCTCCACTTACTCACCAAGAAGTCGTCACTCGTAGTTTTATTTATTTATTTATTGTTTTGAGACGGAGTCTCGCTCTGTTGCCCAGGCTGGAGTGCAGTGGCGCAATCTCGGCTCACTGCAAGCTCCGCCTCCCGGGTTCA